GTTGGTAATTTTGCCAACACAAGCCGTGTAAGTTTTGATTTTTGTCACATACCGTAAAAAAACCCAAAAACGTTTAGCAAACGACGGCCTCAGTGTATAGTCACAAAAATTGAAATCATAGTCCGCCGCTAACCTCATAAAGTTATGGGGTCACTGTATAAACGTTAAAACTTTAACTGTTACTTTTTGGAATATATAAGTTATATCTTTTATTTGGGACAAAGTAATATATATGAACTATAAATTTCCACTTGAAAAGGTGTCCTATAATTTAAAATTTTAGGCCTGACATGAATTTTAGCTAATCATAAATGTTTAACCTAACACTTTGTAGTTGGCAATTGGTAGTTATGACCTAAAAACAGGACAAATATTGTTACTCACTGACCTCAATATTGCACCTACAGATTTTGAGAAGGGCTTATATAGGTATAAAATTGTCCTTTAACGTAAAAAACATACAAAAATAAGTTATAACTTTTAACTTTACAAGGTTAGTAGTCCGGTGATCCGGTCTAAACCACTGTAAGAACTTACGCCGGTCTAAACCACTGTAAGAACTTACGGTTGATACTATACTATTATATTTGCAGGGTTAGGCATGTTTATACTGCAGATTTGTGTGTGTGCGTATGGTGCAGTTGTCTAAGATAGTCGGCCAAAAACACCTCCTGCCTCGACCCATGGAGCACGAAATACTGACCCGATTCGAGAGTTTGATAGTGGAAAATGCTCAGGGAGACCTGATCTGAAATTTCACCCAGACACATTTTTGATACTGCACCTGTTTCAAAACCTGATTCTGACTGATTGGGAGATATTGTGCCCTTTTTCAGTACGCACCCTTCCAGTACGAATTTTGAACTTTTGAGGCCAGAAATCGACATGCCCGGTCATTTATAGGATATGTCGAACTGTCAAAATATTGATATTGTTATTCCTTCAGGTCGAAAAGAATATTTATGTGTGTGACACGCACATTAACGCTATCCTTAAGTTCAGTGCATCAATCACAGTAGTATTGATATTAAGTTCAGTGCAGCCCAGTAGTATTAATATTACATATGCGTATTTCTCCCGAAGTTTCATTGTGAGTGCAACCCCATCGAGCGATATTGGGGCCGAGCCAAGTTTGAGGTGCGAAAAAAATGTGATGATAACGTGGGTAGGCCTTCAAAAATATTTCATCGGAGCTCTGAACAATATTAAACTGGATATAATTAGATGCTTTGTGAGGGGTGCCTATCGCTTATGATAAGGGTCTTACTCTGCAACCTGCAGCGTTTGCGAAAAAGAAATATACTTCTCATCGACGTGTAACTGAGAATGTATATGAAATAGTCACCGCCGAGATGACTAATAAGGAATGAGCCAGCAGAAGGTAAAGTACTGTTTTATTTTATACTATAACCCGAAGACAGCTTTAATTAAAACATCATTCATTCTGTATGGACAGATCTCGCATTGTAACATGTTACCTTTCTGTAGGATAGACTTCTACTATCAAAAGACATACAGCAATCAGTTCTAATACATGTGGGCATGGGCAGTGTCATATTTGCCACCCCAGGTCCATATATTGGCCGCCCCAGGTCCATATATTGGCCACTTCAAAAAATGGCCAAATTTTCAGGGCAGTTTTGGCTTCCTCTCAACCAGCCTAATCCCACTATGCAACCCGATTTTGCGAAACCAATTTTTTTCGGAGTGTAATAATTCGCATTGTCTTTTAATAAAAATTAAAAAACCATTTGGTCGACTATTTGTCAATAATACGACCCACTGCCGGCCTATGCTCATAACGTTATGGGCCCTTCAAACTTGGGGATCGCGAGACGGTTATCTATACGCGAGTGCTCCATAGTTGAGGTATTTCTTTTCGTATTTTGTATGCGATTTTACTCCTGAGTCCTGAGCAAGTCTCATACCGTTTTTAGTATGTAAAGACCCTTTTTTTTAAATAACATAATAGAATTTATAGATTGCGAAGGCAACTAACTTTGGTTTTTGTTTTTTTAATATAAAGTGGTGGTGGTACATAAAATCGACATCACGGATGATGAGGTAGACTCCAGAGTCCAGTACAACCACAACTAAATTAGCGTTTATAAATACTGTAAGGCCAGTGTGAGTGTGTGTCACTGTGTCTGAGAGACTGTGAGACATTGAGACTCATGTGTGACAGTATTTTGGTACATATTTAGCTATATACTACATAGAGAGCTATATATTTAATATATAAAAATAGTTGAGTCTTATTTACTCACTATGTATTTATTTACTACTAGTAGTACATACTATTGTCACATAAATAGTAGTACATACATAATTTGAGAGAGTGACGATTCGTTTTTGTATAAAAAAAAATGACTGGAGTCATATTTGGTATGTATGAACCGCTGCTTTTCTAAAAATCACTTTCGTGTTGCGCGGACAGCCACCAATCAAACGAAGTGGTTACGCAAACTGTCGCAACAAGTTTGATTATTTTACCATAGCGGCATAGCCCACTCTAAATAATTAATACAAATAATACAGGCTAAGTCCTATGATAATCATGATTTTAGCTTTGAGTTCTTCATAAAAAGCGACAGGTACACCACCCACAGTCTCACACTCACACACTCACACTGACACTAACAGTGTCTCACACTGGTGTGTGATGAGTGATGACTGACCCCCAGGCCCAGGGGCCCAGTGTGTCTCACACTGATGACTGACCTCAGTCACTGACTCACGCCCACTCTCAGCGTCAGAAAAAGGTAAATTGGGTTTCTCTTTCTTTTAAAAAACACAACAGTGTGGTATTTAAATGGTCACAGAGCACTTGTCTGAAGTCAAACCCTCTAGTATGTTTTTTTAGCACATGTGTTTCCGTTGAACCATCACATTCATAAGACCATAGCCCATACTTACACAACAACGAACTCTCACACTCGCACATACACTATATCGACTTGAAGGTCTACCAACAGTGATTTAATAACTGATAAAGTATAATCCGTATATTCTGCTATCTATCTGATATCTGGTACAAGTACCACACACTTCAGCTCCGGTGCCAGGTATGTCCTTACTCCCCATGCGATTATGCGTTGCTGTTGATGTGAATTAATTTTTACGAATGGAAAGTATTCTATCTCGATACGAAATTCTCATAATAAGAGAGGAAAGTGTCAATATAATACATACTGCAGTGATTATCCTCAATTTGACAAAATTTATACGTATGCCCCTTGAGTGTGAATTTACCTGTAAATAGATACGCATTCAAGCACATCTGTAAAAAATGCTATGCATATATACATATGGAATAGTATACAAAATTATTAATATGATAAAATGTGTATGATTTGGAACAGGTGTGGTGCTGGTGTAGATATGAATGTTAGTTCGTATGCACACGAGCATATCTATCAAAAGATTGCTATGTGAACAAATTTTAAAATGTCAGTGTATATCAATCTGTTTCTATTAAAACGTATATTCATACCGGTTTCAGAATACGTATACACTTACTGCGGTTATGCAATTTGAAGGTGAAGGTAGGGTGTCTCTTCCGATGCTCGTTGGATACACAGTGTATTGAGTTTTATACATGCATGTTGAAGAAGTTCTTTGACATAGATTTGTTTGGAAAAAGTTACGGACGCAGTCTGGATTTTCATGAAGCAATTATGAGTCACAATATAAATCAAAATCTCTTTAGTTCTTAAACTCAGTTGAATATAGTTCAGATGTGTTTGTATCCCTGAATATCTGAGAAGAGGTTTCACTTCTTTCGGCTTTCTGCCATATCTCCTGGAAATATCTGTAGTATAATATCTAAACAGCTATGTGGCTATAAAATTGAGTGAAACGAAAAGGCACGATTGTCTGCAAATTTTCGAGAATAGAACCACATACATGAAATTCACTTTGTAGCTTATATACACGTCCATAATCTCTGTTACGCACTGATGAACTAGCAGGCTCATCTATTATGGTTTCATTGCATCACATTTTCACATAGTTCATGTACTAGATGGGAGAGCGCTACTCACCGTTTGCATCTACGTTCGCAAGTGTAGTATGTATATATTCGTGTTTGCTAGATTAATTGTCGGTACTGACTTTTTCCGGATTTCTTTTAAGAAAGTCAGGCAGATTTCGCTATCCTTATTGTTAGTATGCGATTTCCAAATTCCTTTTTAGAAACCAAAGCAAGTATCCTATCTCTCTGTTTGTGAGCGTGATATTGCTTGTCTCACATTGTACGTGCTTATGCAAACAAGTATCCTCAATTTTGGCGCACAATTGAACATATATATATATATATAACATGTATCTGTATCTATATCTATAAATGTATCTATATATGCATGTACCTATATTTATATATATATATCTATATTTATATATATGTATATGCTTATATATATATGTATATGCTTATATATATATGTATATATATATGCTTATATATATATATATATATATATATATGTCTTATATATATATATGTATTAATATATTTATAATATGCTTATATATATACTTATATATATATATATATATGCTTATATATATACACTTGT